TTTCATCAATATAATGCTAATCATTCATGTTTGCTTTTACTGATATCTGACCTTGCGCATGTGTTGTTAAGAATCGTTAACGATTTACATGGACACCTAGAAGTGATGGTTGGTGACTATAACATTTTCGCGGTTAAATCAAAGTATCGGCACCATGTTATTTTGAAGTAGAAATAAACATAAATGACTTTTAACTGGTATGTAGGTTTTTCAAATATTTATTTAATTATGTATTGAGGAAACAATTGTTGAGTCCTTTTCCCGGAAAGGGAAACGGCTAAGCAAAGTGCATACAAACTAAATTCAATTTGACAGAGAGTGAATATGACTTGTACTTTCGGTATGTCAAAGAAGTACGCGGTTTAAGCATTAAAAAGGTATTGCTGGGCAGAGCGTGAGTTTATTGTTGTCTTTCGTTTTCATTTTCTAGCCTGTCCAATTCCTGCCATCGGAATTTTGTTCCCTTGACAGGTTTGAAGAACAAACACCGAGGTCTGTTTAATTCCTAAGCATTTTGTAAAACAAAGAAGTTTTCAGTATAAAGTGGACAAACAATGACATCCAAAATGGACCGAAATCCGATGCGGCACAACTACGATGGACCATACATTCTCGTGAAGAGTTAGGTTAACTTAACTACATTGCCGGTTTGTTCCTCTTGCTTGACAAATTTCTAAAAATAGTCCGGAGGATGATGGTGAGTGACAAACCAGCGTTTGATGCATTCTGTTTCTGACTCTTGCATTTTGTCATAGGAAGGAAATAAAAGAATGTTTCCTTCAACCTGGTCAAAATACACCAGATGTAGAGGAGATCATTGAAACAGTGACATGACACCTGATCACAAGTCTTTGTGCAGTGTACCGGCGAGATTATAGAGTGCGAGAGAGGGAGTATGGTGGTAAGCTATTCCAGGGAAGTGAATGAGATAAATAGTGAATGGAAAGCAGAGTACGCAAAGAATCCTCCTCATGTTAGTGCAACCGGAGGCAAGAATGCTGGTGTTAAGAAAGTATACACAGTGCGACTGTGGATAGAAGCGTCAGACACAGATAAACATGAACACACAAATCTAGACAGACACGGTAAAATTTACAAACGTCTAAAGAAGCATTGAAGCGAGTTGTATAAATACATTGAAGTGAAATAACTACAATAGGATGCGGGGGATATTTGGCGCATGAGTTGCGCCTAGTGGTTACTCCAATCTGACGGGCCAGTGGGCATGAACTTACCCGAAATCGTCAAGTTTATTGAGTTCTTGCGTGATCATGGACGTCAGATCAATGGCATGCGTGCGTAATCTCTTCACATATGAGCACAACACACTTACACGAGGAATATGCAAACGCTGAGTTACTTACGCACCATCCCCATCATCCTATTCGTGGTAGTAGCGGTAGTAGTAGTAGTAGTAGTGGTGTTAGTAGTAGTTGTAGTAGTAGTAGTAGTAGAAGTAGTAGTAGTAGTGGCGGATCTGAACTATTGAGAACCAGAAAGATAAGTTGAACTTGGACTATTTGGTAGGCCGTATCGTTGCCCCACGAAGACAACAATATTTATTACAGACAGCACCGCTCATGCCCTCAACAGAAAAAGAGATAACTATCCACACGCGGACTGAAGTCCACGCAGGACTAAGGCGTTCGCGGCCGCACTTATACAGACACACACACACACACACAAATACCATACTGATGTGTTCAGAAGAGGAGATCCAGTCGGTCGAGATGTGGAATGAAACCCCACCTCACCTCGTAACTCTGTGCCTCTTGTCTCGCCCCACGTCCCAGTCAGATGATGGATAAATGAACAAAGTGAATGTCTACGGGTAAACAAAAACTAAGAGTTCATTGCGAGAAGCGGAACACGTCCACAGTTAGATAGGCAGACAGACAGACAAAGGTGAGGTGAAAAATACTCGCTCAGTCACTTTTTCAAGTCAAGTTCAAGTCAAGTAAAGCCTTACGCACCCAATAGGATGAATTTTCAGCACTTTCGACAAGTTACAGCGAGGAAAACGTCAAGCGCTGAAAAAAGAAGAATATGCATTTACTAGATGAAAAACAAATGGATGTGATAAAATCTTAATGTGATAGATGATTATTCAAGTCAGTAATAATATTTGCTCAGTCGACCAAGATACGAGCAAAATAAGGGATGATGCTGTTGTTCCTGTATGTAGTGGTGCGTGCACAAAGAATTCTAGGCTCAGATCCGTCGATCGGATGCTATGCTCAAGCCTTTGTGTACTCAGATCAGTAACGATTGCGGTCGAATGAACTGGACTGCTTGAAACTATCTTGAATAACGATTTCTTCAGGGCAGATGTGACTAGGATCACACCACTGATGACAGATCCATCTAGTTACACAACTGACGTATGCGAGTCTACTAAACGCGAGGATTTATCTTTTCGAACAATACAAGCGGGACTGAGCAAAAGGGACAAATAAAGAAAATCATTGCAAGCTCCAAACAGAATGCGAGGCTCGCACTGTTTCTCTTCGAAAACAGTGGTCAAATAGTGCTGAAGTGATTATGTTTTTATACGTGTATAATATCTGAAGTTTTGCTTACTCATCTATGAGAACTTCATTCTTCTTCCTATCCGTGGTATAAAACATTTTTGGTGGAAAAGTGATTGCTCTTTTGGCGTATATGTTTTAGACCTGTAAATATTACCGTTGATCACCTGAGATGATTGGTAAATTGGTTGTTCTGTAGTGAATGCGAAGAATATTCAGTTATGATGACCACTTCGTCTTTGTTAAGGCTCATCAGCAGTGCAGAATACGGATGCGTTCGGAAGCCGTTCTCATAAGAAGAGTTTGCACACGATGTGCATTTACAGAAAATGAATATTTCAACTGGAAGTAGATAAATGCAAATACAAAAATAATTTTGTAAAACAAATGAGCAAATATGCAACTCAGGTCCCATATTTTTAAAATGAGGAGACGAGTTTTAAGTGTTGGCATGTATAGAAACGTTTTTTACACGGTGTTCTCTCTCTGTATATGTGAATCAGTTGGATCCATCTGTACCTCGAGCTGTGATTTGTCGTGCTGTTTCGTTATCAATGCGGCGTTCCTTATTTGTTGTACCATTGTTGAACAATGTTAATCTATTTCGACGTGCCCATTGAATGAGTTGGTTAATTTGGGCGCCTTAGGGGTTAAAAGTACCCCTTTGCTGTTTGTCCTTGACGCGACTTATGTGTCGCTTATTCTGGCTTCATGATCCGTCGTTGCACTGGTTCCAAAGGTATGACTTCAGGTCAGCTCTTTGTGTATGTTTGTGTTCGCGAGTAAATAGTTGTTTGCCTGTCCTACGTAACTTTGGTTACAGTCTAGGCACGGAGTCGCGTACACCACCTCTGATTGTTTGTGCGGTTCCATTTAGTCCTTGTCGTTGAACACAACTGCTGTTAGTGTTGTAGACACGAGTGTCACCCTAGGGACGAAGGGTGCTGTTGACTGCTTCTGATATCGCACGCATGGGTGATAACATGAGTTTCGTTTACTCCTTTTGATATTTAGGTTTTATTTTGCTCCTAATGCGCAATTTGACGAAACCTTTTGAGTTCGTTCTTGATGCCAGCATTCTTCGGTGGTGCAGGGGTGTGTCGGCACGGCCGAACAAAGTGCGCATACAGCTTCTCAGGTGACATGGGTTGATTACTATGGTAGTTTTGCACTTGATGGGTCGTTATCGGTTTCCTGTAAACAGTGGCTCCTGTTTTCCGTCTGATTTTCGTAGAACGACAAGGTCCACGAAATTAAGTCTTGTGTTATTTTCCTCTTCATAGATGAATGTTTTTCTTGATATAACCGTATTTAGAAAATAACAAAATTGTTCAATTCATGCTGCTGGTAGTACCATGAAGTGTCATCTACCTACCTAATCCAGATACAGGGACAATATGCCTCAAATGCTTTGGCTTCAAGTTGCTTTTTAACCACGTCTGCTAGCAGACCTCAGATCGGTAATTCGACTGGAACACCTTTCACCTGTCGATATACCCTCTCGTCATGCTGTAGATATTTCCCCGTGCAGGGTTCAATCAGCTGCATAACTTCTGTCACAGAAGATGATATCGTTTCTGGTAGACGAGGATCGTATACGCTGTCCAGACCTAGTTACCTTGAGGTGTTTGTAAACAGCGATGTGAACTTTGAGAACACCATTTTTTGATTGGTTCCAGCTTTATTTCTTTTATTCGATCCTGGAATATGACCGAGTTTTTATACCGTTACCTCCCGGAACGAATGAGAGTAATAAGTGGAAGAAGTACTAGACCAGTTGCTAGTTGTAAGCTATTACCAAAGTGACAATCAGGTATATTGGGTTATCAGTCTTATGCACTTTTGGCAGTCCGTAGATCAGTGATCACTCTTCAGCTTTAAAAGTTTTATATTAATTAGTGGCTGAGTTTGTTATTTTCTCAAGATCAGTGGGCCTTTAGGTTTCGTAGGTTTCATAGGTTTTCGCGATGATTTTCTGTGACTGATTACTTTCTCTTCGAATTGCCCATAGATCTCCTCAGTTTCTCTTTGTACTCTGTTTTCTGTCTCTATTATTACGACTGTATTACACTTATCCATGGGTTAAAGGATGACGTATTTGACCTCAGCGGTCAGTAGATGAAATGCGTCTATCGGACGTGTGTTGTTGGCAGAATTTTGTCCTAGGCTGTTGTTTTTCTTCAGTCAGTGGATATTGCGGAATTCCGGCGTCAACTAAAGCGATGAAATTTGTCGGTTTTGCTTTCGCGCAGTTGAATGTTAGTCCCTTCAGCAAAACCGATTGCCCACAAAACCGGTCAAGTGCTTCCAGGGACATCTTAGTCAGTCATTCAGATAAGCTATATATATAGAATGTTAAGCTATTAAAAAATACAAATAATGAATCAAAAATGCAATTCTGATGAATAATTAGTTTTAAAATCATTAGGTATGCGAAAACAAACTTGCTGTTTTTCTACTTTGCCTGGACTCATGCTGGAAGCTATTCCGTGAGGGTGCAAGGAGCTGTCCCGATTGGTGACTTGATTCGACCTGTCACCGAGTTCTGATTACTGTGGCTAAATAAAATGGAAGATTTTCGAAGCGTGGATAGGCTTCGCTCGTGATTCTATTCTCATAGATGATTGGGCTATTAAAATGAATAAAACAATGAGTTTTTGTTCTTCATACACCGAAATTCTTCCAAGTGGTATCAACTGAGAGATGGGTGATGATGCATGGAACAAGAGGTGCAACCAATTCATCTCTAAATGAGGTGGAATTATTGGGTATTGCATAAAATCTAGTCTTTTATCACTAGATTACACTGTACATAATACTGCAAACCGTGTTCCAGAGGAAGCAAATCACGACGACTACATGTTCCGTCGCTGCTTTCCACTGGAAACCTATTCTGAACTCGAATTCCTCAAATAAAACTTGTATGGCGAATCTCTAACAAGGGGTGAGCACACTGAGTTGAGTAAAATGAACGGGAACGCCGCGAGTTCGACATTCACGTTGATCATGTTTTCAGTTCGAATTCAGAAAGCTACTCCTTTTTATCTATCAGTAGTGTCGTATTTCCTTGTACGTACATACCAAGTGATCGACAGGCGTTCAGTTTATGCGCGATAGCTGGTTCTTTCACACCGTATTAATATTTGAGCATATTTCAGGTACGATGGACAATCATACCACCCAACCGGAAGCAGTGTCCTAAACTTCACCTTTACTACTTCTTTCTCCAACAACATACAGTGCTGATGAACGTTTGGAAGAACGTCGCGAGTGCGCTGCACGGATTGACCACAATGGAGTCGTCGAATGGCATCCAATGGCTATCTATAAAAGCACATGCCCAGTGAAAATCAAATATTTCCCTTACGATCGACAAGTTTGTCAAATGCGATTTGGGCCATGGACCTATGACAGGTATGTGAAAATTTACAGGTAGAGGGATAAATAGGTTCACAGACTGAGTCTCGAAAAAACGTGGTTTTCCGGTAGAGTATGTGTACATTTGTGTGTGCTTATGCATCTGTGGTGAGAGTCAAATTATCTTGGTACCTTCATTCAGGTCAGTATTGCATTTCTGTCTTTAAGAGGTCAAGCGTTCCCTCGTTTGTTTCTTTCTCCAACACTCAATGACATGCGTCTCAGGCCATTCGAGCGAGACAATGAAATAAGGATGATATGTTGCAAATGAAACACCAAACTCCGGTCAGAATTAAATGGGTCATATTTCACAATCCGCCGTCTACCTTTTCACACACACAAACACACCCAAGGGATATTATTCTATAAATGGTTCTGATTCTTATCGTCTTTCAACGCTTAACTCTGAGGATAGCATACGCGTGGGTAGGTTCAGGAAAGCTATTTGATCCTCCACATGGCTACCACAATAGTTAATAAATAGCAGGATCAAAAAATGGTTAGAAGGGGATATAACAATCTGACCCACGTGAAATGACACCCTAAATTGGCTCCTAGTAATTACAATGAACTACAATGCCCTATTGGACATTTATATAATTTAAGGGATATAATTTGTGATCATTACTGGTTTGATTTTCCCCAAATCACTCCCATTTAGCTCATAGAATCACATTATTTGATATAAGCAAAGCAAAAGGATAATTCAGAATGATGCAGCGAAATCGTCCTGGACATAAATCGTGCAGTATTGCAATTTGATCTTTTCTTTTGAAATAATTCAGAATAATTAATAAGATTCATTTTTAGTCCGCATTCAGACTTCCATAAACTTGTTATGCTTCACTTTTTCTTTTAGTCTGGAGATCCTCATGGGAAAAGGATATCACCTGCTATGGGGATGGTTGCTTCTATTTTGTTCGCGTTATATATGCATGTATGTCATGTATATTTGGAGCACTATGATTGAATGATTATGGCAAAGTGGTGTGAACGTGGTGCAGTTCAATTAGAATCTGTTTCCAGTGGTAAGATAGTCTGATGGACATATTTGAAAGTAATCCGATAAGAACTGGACTGTGCAGTGGAAGAAAATGGGCAGAACCAGTGCAGAACCGCCTTTGTATCATTCTAGCTGCAGGCGTGTGTAACTGAAATAGGGTGGCTACTCCAATCACCTTACTCGACTTTAATCAATATGCACTCGGACGTTCCACAATCTGACGTGCCACTAGAGATCACCATTCAGATCGAACCATTTGCAATGACTAATGTCTTTCACAGTACCTCCAATGATATCCGTAGTAAAAGGAAGAGAGTGCGTTCTAACAGAATGGTCTCGATTATGCAAACTATGACACTGTTATTTACATATGCACGCACATGCTTGTATTTCAAGTGTAACTACAATGTGTTAGCAATAATGTGGAATGCTTGTAGTTTGAGATGCAGATGTTGTTGGTGTGTTCTCCGAGCTGGTAGTGTTGTTCGTGGACATTTCGTACCCATGCTAGGCAACATCATCAGTGCAATGTCGGGAAAGTTTGTTAGTCATTTTCCATTGCTTCCAAGTAGGAATATTCTACAGTCAACCCACAGTTGATCTGATAAACTACATATTGTACTCACATGCGCAAAAGACTAGAAACGAGATGTGGTTTCTCGTAAATCCTCTTGACATTTGTTTGATAATGTTTTCCCATAATTTCAATTTACCCCCCACCCCCACTCACCTATCTTAGCGCACGTGTGAACATCACTTACTACGAGGAACAGAGATTTAACCTGAAGGACTATGTGGCCAGTCCGGAATGGAATTTACTTACTACCGATGTGGTCATGCGTCAGCGTGCCTATCCCTGCTGTGCGGAAGTATTTTCAGACATGATTTTTTTCATGACAATAGAACGTCAACCTGCCTACTATAACTACATCCTTATATTGCCTTGTTTCCTATTGTCCTCGCTTACTCTCGTCCTCTTCTGGCTTCCACCTGAAACTCCGGCCAAAATGGTTCTAGGTGAGTGTTGCAAGACAGAGAATTCTGACGAATTTGATGAACTATTGCTTTGGATATTGAATCAGTTCACGCAGTCCATGCTCACTTTGTAAACAGTTGCAGTCCGTTGATACCCGCTTACAACTATGATATGAAATAATAAAAGCAAGTCAAAAACAAAATCCATTATGCAGTTAAGATTTGATATGCAATCCGCAACTCGGAAACTGTGGGTGGGTTAACCTTCGTTTAAAGAAACAAAATAATCGAGAAAGTGCGAGGGTTGTTGATCAAAAGAAAATATCTATAACATGATGTGGAATGATTGTAGCTCGGGATGATGATGTTGGTGTTGGCGAGTTCTGGGAGCTGGAAGTGTTGTTCACAGACATTTCGTAGCCAAACTAGGCAACATCATCAGTGCATTGATGATATTGCCTAGTTTGGCTACGAAACGTTTGCGAAGAAGTGATGTGATGGGCTGGGTCAATATGGGATGAAGGGTTTATTTTGTCGACATGGACAGTCAGATGGTGAATTATTGATCGGTTTCTACCGCTGCGCCCCGTGTGCTGTTAAGTTGCGATGCGGCGACGACTGACTTGGGTCAGTGCATCGAAACAACTAATGTAGTTTCTCTAGAACGATCAAGAGTGTTTGCAAATACCACCCTCCGAGCAAATCTCCTGGATATAGACATGTGTACCAACTGAGGTAAACAATGGCAAAATACAGATTGTAACCTCGGGTGGAAAGCATGCAGCTGGATAAAATGATACGTTCAAGAACAAGGCCGCAGAATATCTATATTGATAAAGCCTCATTATATTAGTTTGTTCCCGGTACCAACCAAAAAGTTCCGACACAGAAGTTTGTGATCAAATCTTCCATGTTCCTAAGATAGAACATTATAAACTTGACCTAGCAGAAGTTTAGTGAAGCGCGTGCTGTACGCGTATTTGTATTCAACGTGTTATTAAATGCAACGGGAATATGATGGCACATCTTTATATTTTTCCCTGTGCTAAGAAATATCATGACGTACCACACATCCTGTTTGATTTCGGTTCCGGTAAAAGCTCAAGTGAAAGGGCATTTATGAAATTTGAATATTCCAACAACTTCAAACTGTGTGAGGCTTTCTCACTCATATTCTCGGATAATCAAAATGACAATAAATTATTTTAGAACATCAATTTGGAAAATCACTTCATGTGTGTTACTTGAATCTACACACGTGCCCTCTTTCTCTCAATGCAAAAATCAATAGCAAGAATCAATTCAGATGGTGACCGCATTCATCTTACATTGAGGAAAGTTATTCTCAATAAAAAAACACATTTATCTATCTATCTATCTATCCATCTATCTACCTATCTTCCCATATAGCTATAAACCTGATGCCCACATTGAGATATATATTCAATGCCCACATCAACAGGCCTGCAATATATTGTAATAACGAACCAAATTGGTTAGGTATGATTCCAAGGAAAACGCCCAATTATTATATTACATTGGCTGCAGTCGAAGTCTAACGTTCAGCTTCTGAATAGTCAGAGCATGCTTTCGGTTGTGTAGTTTGCCTCGTGCATAACATTAAGCAAATTGAGAGGAGAGAAACCACAGACCAAAACATGCACCAAATTGAATACAAATGAGGTCTCCTTTAATTCTTTAGATTCATAATTACCAAAACAAAGGAACAAGTTTTGTGTGGATTCCACAACTACAAGTAATGTGAATATATCCGTAAATAAATGTATTTCGTGACCGCCTCAACCAGAGCAACATTATGCAAACGTTTCACCGTAATCCATTCCATGGACTACCGTGAACTTCAAGCGAAGAAGACTATGCAATGAGGCCTGCTCTGATGCATCCGGAGCCAGTTGTAGCGTACGTACTATGCAACATAGATAGTAAATCGCATACAGCAAGGTCAAATTGTGTCCTGATATTGAATCTCTCTATGTGTGGGTATATGTGTGTGTATACGTCAGTCTTTGACTGATAAATAAAAGAAACGTTTTCCTTCTAATTCGGATCCATTTTCAGAATGTTGAACTTTTAAAGCAGAATGACACGTTCGTTCGTTCGTTCTGTCCGTCTATCTGTCTCTCTCTCTCTGTGTTATGACGTCTGTTTGATGATTTACGACATTCGGTGACGTTTCACGTACTTCTTCTTTTTATAGCGTTACTCTTTTCCAGTCAGCTGTGACATCTGTGATGCGGACTTCCTGCAGCACTATTTGTTAGCAGGCACGGAATGAGAATAAAAGACAGAGTGGTTGTCAACTGATGATCGAACAATTCAAAACCTTGGAATTTCCAATTAAGCTCACTTGCATTTTGCTCCAAATTGTGACAGATAGCAGGCAGGCAGACAGACAGACAGACAGACAGGCAGGCAGGCAGAAAGACAGACAGACAGACAGTCTGTTCTGTAGGAGGCCATCACTTTGGTGCAGATATCAGGACTCCGATATGTTCTAATGCACAATTAGTATTGTCGGTTCTTTCTCTTACTCCGATTTTGGACAAAAAGTTTCATTGGAAAGGACGGAAAATCTCCCATTAGTCCTGCATCGGTGATCTAGAACGCCACCATGTTGGCACATAAGAGTTGGTAACACTGTGATTGTTGAATAATCGGGTACAAATATTTGTAAGTTTAAATTTATGGATTACTTAATAAATTTTCACAGAAATCACAAAACTCGAACTAATAAAGTCGCATCACTGGAGTTCACTGATATCAAAATAAATGATCGGACAAAGTAATCATCATTGTTCCTGGTGGACTGAATTTTGTCTTTCTGTCAGTTAGGATATTGTATTTGCAAAGGTATCATCACCAGCTGGGTGACAACTTCTTTCCTTCATGCTTCATTCATGACATTACCGCTCTCTGAGTGAAGTCGAGAAAGAAGCAAAACACTACTGTCAAATGCAATCGATAGGAATCCGGTTGTCAGTTTTAGTTGGGAGTTAAAACAGTATTACAGAAGGAAAACAGTGTTGTCTGAATGGGTGACAGCAAGTTTTAAATCGTTATGAAAAAGCATACAAATTTGGGTACAATGTGGCGTAAACAAACCTGTTGTAATTTGATTTTTATTTTTGATAAAAATTCTCCACCTTGTATTACTGTTTCCTCCTGATCGGTCGTTGCTGATGCTATTCCCCCTCCTGCCCCCGCCTCCACAAACCACCATTTTTTTATGTTCTGCTCTCCCCAGGGATGAATATATTTGTCGCGTTCTTCCTTCTCTTACTGCTGCTTCAAGACTCAATTCCTTCCGCATCCAGTTCATTTCCACTTATCGGTAAGTTGCTTTTGCAAAGATGACCAAATTTCGATTATTTAGAGAAAGATGCCTTGTGCGGCTCACAATTTCAACCACGCCGGTGTTAGTTACATTTGAATCACTCACACTTGCACACACATATTCATGATGTACGGTTACTGTTCAGTCCCGAGTTTGGTTGATTGATCTACAGTGTGGATTTCTGTTTTTGTGCACTTCGCAGGTAAGTTTGTGAACTCCGATCCAATGCAGGGAGGAAAACCGAGGTGTCTTTGTGGCCTCCTTTCAAACGTACTTGAGAGTTCGTCAGTAAAACTATCTGGGATACTCCTTACATAAATCGCGATTCATGTGAAGAAACTGTTTGTCAACATTTTACTCGGTCTAAGAACAATGGTGAATAAATTCCGAGCGCCTCATGGATTAAAGGTCTATTCGTTTGTGATCACGTTTTCTCAGATCCAACTGTAACTTTACTGGTATCAGGCGAGTAACATGGATGCGGTTTCAATGCTTTTTGTTTGCATTCAAATAAATTCAATGAGCACTTCGCGAATGCATTTACCCCGAGGGATTTTACGGAACGCTAACGAGTTGATGAAGCAACACGATGTGAGCAGGCACCTCTCGCGCGTGCTCGTGCGCGCAAGAGAGCATAGGAAAAAAGCTCAACCTCGTAGTTCCGTTGGAGATGAAAATGACTTTACTCTTCATGATGAGACCTGAGTCTCTCCCGGTCTCTTGGGGGTACGGTCGCCCGCTTGCAGAGAAAACAGAATAGCAACAAGATTGGGGCAGGATGGTTGAGTGAATTGAGAGAAAGACAATAAGAATAAACAGATAATGTTCTCACAGGAGGATGAACCCTGTCAATTAGTGCCCATTCAAAAATAACCAATTTTGACACATTCCTGATGGGTGGTGGTGGTGGTGAACGAAGGGTCTAATATTAATTGAACTAAGCAGGCGAATATTTCGGTTCGTGTTTTGCCAATCGAGCCACGCCTAGGGAGTTGTGTGTTCCCTGTTTCGTGTTAACATTTCTTGTACGGGTTAAAACCATTTGAGAAATTAGAAAACATAATTAAAACCAACTGTACACTAAACAAAATAATTTGTATTTTCAAGCTAAATTGCGATGTAAGCAAAGTGGCAATAAGATGGGAAATAAGTCCGCCTTCGGTCGTCAAATATAAGTTAGGAAGAATGCAATTTAATTCTCCCTAAATCAGTATAATGCGGTGCAATCGATCCACGGAGTTTTCACCAATCTTTGCAGATACTAAATGCGCAGACGTTTTCAAAGAACAAAAGGGATATTTACCTTAGGGTTCCGAAAAGTTTCTCATAAAACTATGAAAATGATATTCAAAATTTGGTATAGCATAGGAAGCTTGATCAACAAACCGAGATACACTGAATATATATTTGGTAAGGTAAAGAGCGGGACATGAAGAGAGCTGTCCACGTGGTAAATGTGTCTGCTTTCTGTTGGTAAGTCCCAGGTTTCTATATCCAAAGGATACCAGGCTTGGGTGGAGTTAGTTCAATGCATATTGCACAGTGCTTAGCCGTTTTCCTTTCTAGTTTAGTTTGCTTTATACTGGACGTTATCTACTATATAGAAACAACTGGACATTCCACTACTAAATACTCCATAAATTCATTCAGATATTGTTCGTTGGAAAGGAAAATGTTTTGTTTATTCAATGGAGTTATATTTTCATTTCAATAAAAATTATAAGTTCTGAATGGAATTGCTGTGATTTAATAATCTTCTTATGGCGAATTATGTTATATCAATGTTTAATTTAACTGCTGAATTATCACTTGCATGCAGATCCTTTATCTTCATTGGTAATCTCATAGCAGGTGAAAAAGTCTTTCATTGATGCCTCATCATGTTCCTACCGCTCATATACGTGAAAAACAGAAAATTTGTTTTATCCGTTGGCTTGTCGAACTGTAAGAATGGTATTCCCAGAAAGCATATCCACGGGCTGAGACAGTGCATTCACCGCGGGGGCGGTGCAGGCACTACAGCAAAAAATCATTGATTCGATACTGCTTGGGTTTGATAAAACACTGGCAGTGTGCAAACTAGGCCATACTCGTTGGTTTCTTTCAACTAAACGTTTATGCGTAAAGGCCTCAGTTGCGCTAAATTTCACAATTTCGTTGCCTTGGATCGATTATGAACGATCTGAAGCATGACCTCAAAAACGATTTCCGAGTTTATCATATGATCTCTATAAGCCAGATGACTTCCGTGGAACTGGGTACAATATCTTTGGAGTTATTTTGAGAAGTGTTATACCATATTCATTCACACCTAAATCAAGGAGTCGCCATTGACATACTCTCATTCGCCGGTATTCGGATAATAGATCGTACCAAAAGCAACTGTGAAATCCTGAGTCCTCAGCAAATGAATTGATCTATTTATTATTGTGTTTGATTTGAGCGGAGTATTAAAAATCCTGCTTGTTTCAGACACAAACGAGTTGTGGCTTAAGTGGTGCTGACTTTGTTTTTAGATACAACATATCTATCGAACAGGGCCGTCCAGTTTGAGCAATATTACCAGGGCATCTATTCAATTTATGCTACGAGCCCTGAAAGTTAGGTAGTGAACTAAGTTTTCTTTTGAACTACTGGGGCATACATACAAAAGTTGGCGTATTCTTCTTTTCATGTTCTTACACTCGCCTTTGTTAATGTACACTTCTATGGTTAAACCAGTTTACAGTAAGTTTCTTTCATCAAATATGAGCTGAAGTTTGACTACAGTGTACTTCTACCCAACTAATTTATTTATATGGTGATACACAATTTTGAAAATGAAATCAAAGAACTGTTCGAACTGAGCAACAAGAATGTTAAAAGGTAACGAAGAAATGGTAAGAAGTCAAACAGTGAACGATGATGGACAAAATAAATCTTGTCATCAGTCACTGTGATTAGCTGAGAACTAGTGAATCGCAAACCGTGGTACTGTCTGGTTATTCATGAATTATTGTGCCTTCGTGTGTGTCTTGGTGTAATAAAACGGGGTCACGTTGTTTTCAATTATTCATCATCGGGTTACGTTTTATGATTGTGTCCTCGTTGACGACCAAACGTAATCGGGATTACTTATAAGACGCGGAAGTTTTCATCCAGGCATCACAAGAGGATACATGAGTGGAAAGAAAGTCCCTAAAATTGAAAATTGGCAAATGAAGTTTTATGGTGAACATGTTACAATAAGAAGGTATAAAATGAATTTATTAAAACCACAATTTGACAGTTCTAACTAGTCAATACAGTGGTTTAGCTGCAATCAGTATTGTTTTTTTGGTAGCTCTAATTAATCTTTAGCACATATCAAACAGGCTTTTACTCCGTTGCAGGACTAGTAAGAACATGAGAACTAGAAAGAACACTGTAAAAATGCTAATTAAATACCGAATGAATGTTCCTGATTTCGGAATTGGCTTTTACTTAATCATTCCCTATCGATGCAAGATAAGGTGTCATGGAGTATGTGTCCCCGGATATTCGAGATGGAATGAATTGCTGCTCTATAGCGCTGAATGAAGTAAGACTCTCATGCAGAATAGAGGTGGCCCATCAGATAAACTTTAAGCAGGCATAAAAATGTTTGTCACAAAGGATAAGGCGATTTGAAAAACACGATTGGTCATTTTTCGACGCCTCCACAACAGTTCTCTAGCACATTAGGGGAAATAACACAGGGGAGCATTAAAGGATTATGGATAGCACTCGCTACTGAATGAACATTTGCACTCCTACCCGATTAATGCGAAAGTAATGAGGTGTTACTATGTGAAGTAAAACTCCTTCCAGTTTGTGAGTAACAGCCTGAGTACATACCGATCAATTGATCTAACTTTCCAGGATAGAAGCCAAGTACTTTACACGATCTACTGGTTTGGTTTCCCTCCACTTTCAGGCGGAGGTGGAGACTTGTTGATGTTGGAGACACATTCAAGGAAGGTGTCAGGGTTAAGATTAGGAAAACGTGAAGTGAATAACGTGATATGATGGTGTCGTGAGGTACTACTAATATTTGTGAGTAGTATGCGAAATATTTGGTGGTTTCTTTCAACGATCAAAAATTAACAAGACCATTGTGAGCAAAGTGCCGTGCTTTAAAGAATGCCTACCGAATGCTTCATACAGAATGCAGTAACAGTTACTGCATTGAGAATGTCACCTCGATTGGTGATGAAACGTTTGCAGTACAATTGCCAAGCTCGACGAACAACTGAACACCAAGTTATACTGCCAAAACTACAAAAAAAACAATCACCACCGTTGTTTACAAAGCTGTCATATATATGTATATTGGACGGAAATAAATACAAAACGAATTTGCGAATCGTAAACACTACTCTGTCAAAATGTTTATTTTGGATTACTGAAGGACTTTTCAGACTGACCACACCACTTACAGTTTGTGCCAACAGTTATACCACCTGTCATTTTCTTCCTCCAACCTCTTCCGTCTAGTCGGAAGCAAGCGACTTCAACCGACTGAACCACTTAATTGCGTGCACAATCGTTGAATCATCAATTGTCGAAACATGGGATGCATCTATTTGCCGAGACTTCTTCAACTGAAGAAATACGGCAATTTCTAGAGTCTCACAAACCGGACACAGTACAGCCATCTCAGCTTGCCTGTGGTGTAGGGCTACTACTGAGAACTGTTTGCCAAACGACACGTACACATTTTCCACATTAACTGCAAACAATTTAACAGGGTTTTGCATTATAAAATTCGTCAATGATGACATACACTGTCCACTGTGATAGAGCTGTAAGCCTATATTACACTGTTACTTACTGATTAGATAAAGTTTTGGTAGAGAAAAAATGAATTGTACTGCTTTAGGAAGCAAGGTGGGTGCTCAGAGACGGAATCAGATAGAGAGTGAAATGAAAATCTCTGCACATGCTCCATTTAGGTCTGACGAACATGATCGGTTGTCATGATATTACAGAGTACCATGGCTCGACCGGTTAAGTCAAAAGGCCTTTGTAAAATAATGTCAGGTATGAGGAATAGAGGATTTGATTTTATCAAATGATGAATTCGTCGTGTAAATGAGGAGTGAGCTGAAACGCTAGTATGCACTGGACAGCTGGTTCGACCTGGTTGGGTCTCATCAGTAGTGCGATAGTACAACAAAGTATTGGTTGCTGAATTTTCACCCAGAAATGCAAATATCCCAATAATTTCTCAATGAAAAAATGACCACTACTGCATATCAAAGAGTACTCAAACATACTGGCATTGTAGGTAAACTGGTGAATCTCATTTTTACCAATGCACCTTTTATAACCATTTGCAGACAATATCATTACTTTTATTGCACAGTTCTCTGAACCCAGATTAGTACGCAATCCTTTTTCATTTTTTTATTGTTTCTAGTGCAGGCTTTTCGTGCGTGATGGTAGTGAACAAATGAGTGCGTGATGTGTGAGCATGGATAGCGGGAATCAATCATAGGATTCTGGAATTTTTGTTCCCATGACACAGATCACTCAGTCCCCAAGATTTAAATTACACTTGATGCAATCGATCATCATTCCTTATTTTAAACACGACTTGCTGTTTGCAAACTTACACTTGGTCAATACACTTTTAATTGCTGTATATTTTAACGGCACACAATTATATGGTTTTATTTAAAAATCACTAATTTTAGTCAATGAAGCTGAGGCTTCACTTTTACCCAGATATTTAGGGCAAATAAAACTATGCTCACTGAACACTTCTCGTTTCTCCCTATTCCCTCTATTCTTCTGACAAAAACCATTCGTAACATTTCATACCAATTTACGAAGGATAACACCCTGAAACAAATGCTTAACAAGTAACTGCTCTACGTCGCCTATCGTCATTGCTATAAAAATTAGTTTGAACTTTAAAATGCAGTAAACGTATCATTTTGGCGTATTAATAATTTTCAGAAGCTGTAGAAAACAAACAATTGAATTCGTGGAGGGAATCCGATGGATTCATGGCACTCAAAACGTGTGCTACGATAAACAAAGACAGTTACTTGCGAACTTATTTTATGCTTGATGTTTAAAGTAGATTTAACACGCTGCTCATCAGCCCATCATCAGGTGGTTGATATGTTTGGGTTTGACATGTCCGTCTGGATAATCAGTCAACTGGACCGATGTACACACACCGCTAACAATACCGACCGAGTTTGTTGCAGTTGCGCACTGTTTCCCAGCGTTTCGTTTGTGAGTAATCCCTGTTCTATACATAGCATGCGTATTTTAAAGTGGACCGAAGACTGATATCACTTCCCGTTTTGCGTCACTTATAAATGTATATAACCTTGTGGTGCAACTTAGTGAGGGTTTTCTCCAGACTCCCCTACTGATGAGTACCGGTGCGAAGTTTCTTTTGAACTTTCGTTGAAACGTTCCAAATATGACCATCAAGCCCAGAGAACATACCGACCGCGACAGCAACAGCGCCATCACCATCAGCAAAGTAATCTTATTTGTAGCATGGTTCACTCTATTTTATTGGTAATCAGCAAAACAAACCGCTCGAGGGTTACCTGCCGAAGTGTGCTATTGGATGCAAACATAGCTCCATTGACAGGACCTAAGCGTTTTACATGCATCTACATATGAAACATTCTGGTTGAGTTTGCAAAAACACACGTCATTCATGTGTGTGAAGGCTTATAAATGGGAGCGCTTGAGTAGAGCTCAATAACTCTTATCAGGCTCTGTGTAGAACTACCCCAGAAGGCATTGAATCGCACAGCATGATCACCATATTTATCTGTCAGCGCGTTTTAAATGAGTATCACTGAGCAGCTAGTTGCCGGTGCATAAGAAACTCATGCACACAAGCTCACGCATGTCTACGGTCAGCAAACGAGCCTACTGTGGACGATCGATCCAATGATCATTGCCCTCTACACAAAACTGGCACGAAATCTCGAAACTGCTTATCCTTGCATGCCCTACTGCTCTTCACTCACTTGTCTACCTCCCATTTCCTCACTGACAAGCGCGCAATTTCTTGGCTACACACATATGCACGCACCATCACACATTTACAAGACAGCAAATGTCGCGTTTCCCCTCGGTTATTCCCCATAGATTTATGTCTGCCGCAGGCGTGTTTACGAAGTGTCCATTGCAGTCCTCTATTGAATGTCCCAATTCGCATATGCGGTTGCTGAAGATTGTGCATACAATCGGCAGTTCTATCTCTTGTCCCCAAAACATCCCTTGCTTTCGTTAGGGTTGGGTGTATGCAAGTGGTCAATCTTAAGTCATCCACACTGCGCCTTCCATCCCTTATTGGCCCATATGAATGCTGCTTTTCTCTATTGATAGTGCTCATTTTTGTCTCGGCACGAAAAACAAATGTATTTTGTTTTACGTAGCATTCTACGATGTATTTGACTATTTTAAGCGGACTGCATCACAGTTGTCCGCGATTTGAACTTCTTGGCATTGTTCTTATACGCATAGCAATCGTATCTTTTCTGACGTTTCGAGTGCACAGTTTTGTATGAAGTTGCAGAGGGAAGCTGCAACACAGTAAAATATTACTTTTCGTCTGGGATGAAAATGCGAATCAATGATTTTGCATGATACAGTTAGAGTATTCCTTCTCACAGACCTATATAAATTTCCAATTTCCGATGAGTATTTGTCACAATGGGATAACAATTTAGAGAGAATAAAACACTTGGATGAGAGATGAAGATGATTACGGTCAAACGAAACGAAACATCATGTACTCAATGTTTGGAATTCTTTATTGGAATCTGCCATATTATTTCGTGTTTCGAACTGATTGCATCACAACTCGAAAGAGGAATGATTCAAACAAGATACAATTAAAAAATATTTTGAATGGAGAAGATATGACTGAAAAAATCATTAATAGAAGTGGCACACATTGCGTTACACATACACATGCTGCTTTTAGTTACTTGTTCTTATTTATTTAATCAGTGCCAGCCAACCGATGTCCATTCACCGAACTCATCCGTTTTTGTACAATTTATCTATTTATCAGGCAACTATTATTGCATCAACATGACTCTGGTCACCCTGTCCACATTTCTTTGCCTTATCGTTGTGAATCTACATTTCCGAGGTGACAGCAGAACGGAAATTCCGCAATGGCTCCGCAAGGTAATTGGTGCGAGATTTGCATGACACGTGTTTGCTGTTTTGGGAGTAATAAAAACGAGTTATTTGACACAAAAACTACAGACCTGCAGTCATGGCAAGTAGTGAATATATCAATATATCAATGTATTGTTCACAGTTGGTTAACGCACACGAAGTTCGGTTACATTAATTGTGTCATTTTTTCTGATAAATCCATCTGTATTTTAATGTTTTCGTTAGTTTTCATTAGGTTTTGAATAACTGTGAAATCCGTTGCAGAATATTGTTCTTCATCTGTTTCTGAGATTCAGCATAGTCCTTCAAGGTTCACAATCCTGCTAGGCGCTTAACACACTTGATCAATGGGAAAATATTTGAACAGGACCGTAAAACCGTGGACGAAAATGAACGGAGCTTAGGTTGTCTTGTTTGGTTAGTGATAAAACAAACATACCGCCGATACTTTGAACCCTTCTGGCCTAATCATACTTAGCCACCATTCAGGTCAGGATAAAAATTTGTTTATTAAAAAAAGCATTGTGTAAATTTCAAGTTCATCACCAGTGAAAACGTAGGCACAAGAGAGGAGTTAACGACCTCCCAAGAATTGGCTTTCATATCCAGTTCCTTTAGATTTTCTTGCATTCATACAAAATAATGTCTAACTCAGCTCATATGCCTATGTGCCCAAAGAGTCCACTACCACTCGTTTGATTTGCGACACTAAGGCTGGAGTTCCGACGGAAACACAAACACCATATCCACTATTGGTGAATTCCTGCAACGTCAAAACAGCACTATTTTGCAATAAAACAATCTTATGAATTTATTTTGAAGATGTTGCTCATTGACTGCTAACCAAGTACTGGTGCTGCCGACAGTTTGAACTTTCCATGCGTTCAACGGCAGCGATCATTGTTGTTTACCCTTGTCAAGACCTATTCATCGCAAGCTTGTTCATCGGGTCCGGCTAACTGGCTAACATAATTCAGAATTTACTGAAAAGCTTCACTAGGAAAATCACTTAAATGTAGCAGTGAGAAGGTGAACGCAAATAAAATGGAATTGATGAGTCGTTCTACAATATTCACCAGCTTAAAGTCCTCTAAAAGGTCTAAATAAATACCAAGGCGTCATTCTATGCTTTAAAAGTAATATTCGCTAAGTCTCTTGAAAATATCCCTTAGATATATTGTTTTCATTTGACGAAGACCAAACTGCTTCCATAAAGCCATCTTCAAATCTTAAATTTTATTCAGAAAGCTCCGGTGGATGAGTCACTTCTGTTATAGTTGACTAAATTATAATAAGACCTATCCGGCTAAGATATTAATTTTATGATAGTCTTAACTGTTTTATAGCAGCTCTTTCTTCTTTCACACACCCACACACCATGGCAATCATAGTTGGCTATTCAACACGGAGCTCGTCTCCTGTTTGTCAATGTTCGTCCACCGGGAGGGAAAAATCCCAAATCCCCGGACAAAAAGGGTTCGAAAGGCTCAAATCAACTGGCCAATTTGGTCCCTCGCCCGGAGGAGGTAATTCAGATGTATAGACAAAAGTACGGTTTCTATCCCGGTATGCCGTACGGTGAAGCTTTATTCCGTGAGTTTGAAATCAGCTGGGCAGTAATTTGTTTGGTTAAGTTATCATTATCACTAGAGAACATGTTCTCTCTGTTTACTTTATTTCTTGGTGAGTTTTTGTGCGAAACTAGGTCAAGAGCCTTGGACGGGTGTTTCATCCTTTTCGGGACTTGTCAACGATGCATTCTCCTTACTTGTCGTTGCCGTACATCTTTGGATTGGGAAAGGAAACCCATACCGCTGAAACACGAGATCAACGTTCAACACAATGGGCAACATGGCGAAATCGATCAGTTCGTCGCATTCTTGCACGCGCCAGTGAGGACTCACACACTAAAAAAGCAGGATAAAATAGCTTTTGAGGTTACAATTTCTAGGCAAGCGCTCCTGGAACCTGAGAGATACTGTAGCTACGTGCAGTAGAAGGCTAAGCCAATTGGTAAGCACACTGGAGGACACCGAAAGAGGACTATCGGTCTCCGACTCAGAAAAAGAGTGGGAGGCTAAAGACCTACTTTGAAAATGTCTAACAATGGATGACGGGTTCGCAGTTCACTCAGATCGTCAAAATGCCCCTCCACTGGACGATTTACAAATCGCCGCTAGTAGTGTCCTCAAGGACCTGGAGGGCTTAAATGAAAACAAGGCTGCTGGCAGCGACCAGCTGCACTCGGCTGTTATCAGAACCCTAGCTTGTGTTCGTCTCTACCATAACCGCACTTAACAGGAGGCCCTAAGGGCTAAGAGAGTGCTCAGGGATTGAACCACTGACACTGCAGTAGCCAGTTGCAAGAGTGAGGATTAGATGCTGCCTTGCAACTGGAAACCCGTTAGATTGACCAGCGTTCTGCATAAAGACTTAGAAACCATAGTTAGGAATGTTCTCTGTGAACACGTCACTCAACATAGGTTGATTAGATCCGGCCTTCCTCAAAACGTTGTTTGAGCAACCTTCTGTGCTTCTTAGACGAAGTGCCACGGAGGTTGGACGAAAGTCGAGGTGTGCTACCTGAACTTCAGGAATACCTTCGACTCGGTGAACCACCGGCTTTTGTTAATTAAACTCGGAGTATTTGATCTTTCACTAGCTTTGCTTAGAGGGATTGAAGGTTTTCTCACTGATATAGTTAGGGTGAGAGACGGTCTATCCACCGTTGGCATCGTGTTAAGGGCTCAGTCTAGGCCCGATGCCCTTTCTGCCGTCTATAAACCACTAGGTCCTAGACCTCGATGTTCCAGTCTTTATCTTAGCCGATGACGTAAAATTGATGAGCTCAAGACAATTAGACCAGCTAGAAACCGATCTGGCAAAGGTTGTTCGGTAGAACTTGGAGCTAAACGCTACCAAGTGTCATTTTTTTAAACACCTTAGGGCTTCCGGTCCGAGAGTCCAGAAAACTGACGATCTTTACTCGAGCAGACCGAATGAGGGACCTGAGATTCTAGTTCGTGAAGATTTTAAGCCTACTGACCAGTGATGGGCCACCAAATAAAAACCTAGAGTGTGACTAGTCCAACTGAGGGCAGCTCTGTTTTAGAGAAAGACAGATATTTTCGTCTGTCTCTGTAGTTAGACCGCAGTTTGAATGCTGCGTGCAAACGTGGGTGACTTACTTGAGGAAGGATATCTGTTGCATCGATAGATGCAAAGGTTAGTCAGTAGGAGGGTCACTGGAATGAGGAGCTCGAAAGGCTTTTCGAGTGAGTGCGTTCAAGGTCACACACAAGTGACGGTTGTCAAGCTTTTTATCACTGATCACTTAATGAATTTTCGTTACCTATATTAGGAGAGAGCTAGAGAATAAAATAACATTGTTATTAAGGAATATAGGATAAGGTAAATCAACTTTACACACAAGTTAACAACTGTTATTGACACTTGTATAGTATATCAGCAATGTTCCTAAAACTGTGAATCAAAAACTATTCCGTACAAGGTTTTGCGACAGCCATTTTAATTTTGCTGTCGTCTGTGGAACATATTTCATCTGAATATTACCGACGAATTTCATTTTGTTTTCAGTTAATTTCGATTGGTTTAACCCAACCCTTGATCAAAAGTTTTTCCCTGTAAAAATGATATATACGGGTTTTTGTCATCTACAATCCGGCAAGATTATTCACCCTGTCAAGAATGGACGCCAACAGTTTCGGACTTTCCAACAAATCGTCGCACTTGCGACCCAAGTCGTCTCACAGATTGGAAGCTGATACTAGCCAAAAAATAATAATGCGGTAGATCAGACAGACGTCTCCGCATGATTGATCTTTCGATATGCTTCCGTGTATAGTCTATCGGGCTTTCAAGGTGTGTGTATGTGTATACACATGTGTGTGTGTGTACGTGCGCGCGAGCTCATCTCACTTCGCCACTGCAGGCCCTCATGGTTGCGTGTCACACATGAATGAGAATTGACTGTCGTGGAACCGCGAGGTGAGCGATAAGTATCATAAATCGGGAGAACAATCTATCTCGTTTAGGGGATCCGGCATGAGAACTCAGTGTTTTCTCCGCACATACCATTTTGTGATGAAAAGTGGATGGAGCGAACTCCGATAGTCAAGAGGAGTTGTGCTTCATTCATGTTGACCTCCAAAATCGGAGTAGCGAAGCGCAGATAGGTAGATAGAATGGGCGTAGTACTAAGGTAGACAACGCTGAAGCTCCCTATCACAATAATCAGGTTGCAGTGGCTTGGATTGAACCTTGAACACTGAGGACCAAAATACAACCTAGAAAGCAGCTTGAACCCCTCAAGAGCGTCGCAGTAACTCAACACATTTCAATTAAAGTTTTACCAATAATCTGTTTCATAAAATAAAATAAAATAAAATGAATTTCATTTTATTACAGATCCCTATAAACAAACACAAAAAGTGAACAATTCCACAATATCAAAGTAGAGCTATAAAGCATCAGAAACCCGAAACAAAGCTGCTACCTTCATATTACATTTAGAAGCTATGATAATCGAAGGATGAATGTGGATTAATATTCATTTTTATGGTTTAGGTATTTATATTAGAAAAGAAAACAAAAATGATATTTGAAAGCCTGTTCTGTTTCGGGAATTTGTCCCTTAACCCAAAAGTTGGTTCAGATCCTCCAATTTCGACAGTTTGACCTTTCCAATAAATTTTTAATGACACTTGTAATTGATTATTAATGCACTTTGCTACAAATTATTGACGATTCTCTGTTTCTTTGTTTATTCACATACTTTCATTAGCCAACGCGACACAACAGCACATGATGTCATCAGGTGATCGCTTTTTCCCTCCTAATTTCCCCGGAGATAACCGGCTGAGGTCATATCCTGGTCAACGATATACTGCTGGTCCTGAAGGGGGTTCAGTCTTCTCCCCCATGGGGGAGGGGGAATTTCCACCGTCGTACTACTACGGTGCTGCTGGTCATCCATATAATCGTATGCAAGATCCTCGAATGACTGATTTGTCTGTGGAAGATAAAAGTAAAGCTTGTGCTTTTTGTCCAGCGTGTGCAGGTCTGGCAGCAGCTGCTGCTGCTGGACAAGGTCTTCCAGATCAAGGTGCTAATATATCTGGTGAGATGGATCCAGTAGCCGGCGGACAGTATCCGATGAATCAATATACGGAAGATCCAACTGACGAGTTGGCTGCTGTATGGGCTGCTGCAGTGACCGGTACTGCACCAGGACGCGGAAAACGTTCTACAACAGAGAGTCGAGCTCAGAGGGATGCCGATATAGATGGTATCAGCGCGGTGCGCGATCGATCAATGGAACCGGATCTGGAAGCGTTTCTACTTCACTGCATTCGACCTACCGAAGCAAAAAAGGCAAACATGGCGGCCAATACCCGCTGGACCGGGGAAAATCGACCAAACATGCCGAATTCCCCATTTTATCAGTTTAGCTCACCGCACTGTGAGGACGATCCGGAGGATGCGGATGATGAGAGCCTACAACGTTGGCCTACTACTGGTTCAGGATCAAAATCAAAACGGAACGCTGAAAGAGTGGGAGATGAAGAGGAAGATGACGAGGAAAATCCAGAAATAGAATCTTCCGGTCTATGGCAACGCGGTTCTCGGGGACCCTATGATCCATCAGCAAAGCGATATTCGGTTGGTTCTGATCCGGAATTTCTGAGGCGGGTGCAAGCGGTAAAACGAGACGTGTCAGAGATTGTACGTGGGATTCGATTTATGCAACGCCAGAATGAAAATAAAGAAAAGGCGAATAAACTAACTGCTGAATGGCGATTGGTTGGCATGGTTTTGGATAGATTATTCTTTGCAATCTACCTACTTGCCTTGGGTATCTCTATATTGCTCTACTTCCCTCGTTCCGGAGACGAGAAAGACGATTAAGCTTGCTCATGCACTCAAATTCAAACACAAAAAAAAACTTGCAGATACGTGAGTTGACCCAGACACTCACTTATTTCCGCCGTTCTTCCGAATTCAAACGTCTGATGTTCAAACAAAATCTGAGGCTACTGTTCTGTTTCCCTCATGTGATTACTTTCTAGGTCCAAGTCAATTTGTTTTGCAGCCAATATGTTGAAACGGGATAAATGCTGTGAAGCGGGACAGCATTTGCATGCTCATTTCCCTGCCCAATTTGTTCACGTAAAACATGTCCCCTGTTCACTTGAGCTCTCCTATTCAAACGTCGTCCAGGGATCAGTTCCGAAATATGTGTCCATGTGTTTTGTCTCACCTAGTGATACCGCTAGTTATTGCGTTCCAAGCAACAAACCAAATCAAACAACCTCCTTTGNCCTCCTTTGGGTATCTAAACAGTTGTACAACCACGCTCTCTTTTATTTGACGTCCAACCAAATGATACCGGCTTGAGATAGGTTTCTTTGTAAAAAAAAGAAACCCAAACTCAAGTCACCGTATGCAGCGAACCTGTCAATGAATAACTATCCAGCACTGTGCTGCTCTCAGAAGTTGTATGCATTTTGTCATGTGCATTCACTTGACCCCCTTTTTCCTAATGGTCTTTTACTTTAATCGCACTGTATTTTGATCACCCCAGTGGTACTTTGCTTCATCAGCTATGCAACTGAAACCTAAACAACCACAGCAAAAATAACAACACATCTATCTGGACAGAAAACGAACAGGGAATGTAAAAGTGCTTCCCTCCGCCAACCCCTTATTCCGGAAAAATGAACTCCTTCAACTTTATTCGATTGTTCGGGCTCTATTCTCATTAGTGTTTAGCACATCCCCGATTGAATGGCAAACAGGTATTTTGAGAGATAACTTGGTTTCCATTTAGATTTAATCTTCTGCATCAACTGCGTGTACGTAACGAGCGACCGCTGCTTACCAGACTGCATCTCAGTTGCGTACAGAAAAGTTTGTACAGTTACTTCCGGAAGCCCAAACCCTTCCGTTGTTCTTAAGGCTTCCCTCTTTCACCTTACTCTCCACAATACCGTTGGATCCGTTACATGGCAAATGGTAATCAATGTACGTTGCAGGACGTGCAATCAACCGCGTGAAGCTGATCAATCTGCGTGATTCCTAAAAACCCTCTCCACGAGATTTATGTAATTAAAACTAAACCCTGTATTTGATTTGGTGGACTCAGTGTTTTGTTGGTTTTACCGCTTTCGGGTTGTATGTCCTTTTGTTTGCAGTACCATTTTGTTTAGATGAAAAAAGACAAAAGAATTAGTATTTTGCTGAATGCTTTGTGCTTTATCTTCTTTTTGTTTCAACCGGAAATACAGTCAGTTGTCATCAGGGAATTGGGTAAGTAGAAAACACAAGATACTCAAATACCTATCTAGCAGTTTCAAGTTTTCGACAACGAAATAAAACATTCCACAAGCAGAAGGATGGTCACGACAAATCCAAAACTTTTAAGAGGGGAATAACGATGAGCAAAAGAGGTGGCCGGTATAAAATCAGAAAATAAGTTGACACGACCAATGGGCGCCTAGTCAACTCACTGGACGAAAACTGTTGGTAAGAAATTGGCCTAAATTATTCCTTTCCAGTAAATATTCTTTGTTTGAGATAAACAAAAATGGCAAGAAGTTCCGTTGTTCAATCGATGATACTAATATTTTACCACTTTTATTTGTTTGAGGCTGGAGGAGAGAAAACAAAATTGATGTCAGAAGCACTGACAGAGGGGAGTAATTGGAACCGTTACAGAATTTAAATTCACAGTTTACGGGAGGGAGTTTTAACATCATTGACAACTATCAGTGCTGTTTTAGACCAATCAATGCCAGAACATAGGTTTATGCGATAACGAGGGAAAGAAATATAACTGCCAGAGTGAAAGCAAATCCAGTAAGGTCAAATCAAGTGAAGTCAAGAGACGCTTTATGCACCCAAAAGGTGAATTTTCAGAAATTTACGAAATTTTACAGTGGATAGATAAAACAGATTGCGAACAACAAAAAGGACAATATAAGAAATCCTAAACTTTGGTAAATGAGAGAACAAATTGTTGCAAGATTTCTTCCCTGAGATGGGTGAGAATAGTTTTACGAATAACCAATAACCGAGCTAGGTAGGAATTACACTGTCTCAATGTGGGAGTAGGCGCAGGAAGAAGTTGATTTTTGGAGCCAGTTCGGAGATTCGACACGGCTTCCACGATTTCTCAGAGCAGACAGTTCCCTTGATCACGTGTTATCCTGTCAATAAATGTATCAAAAGCGTCAAGATGCTTGGAAATAAATCAATCAACTAATACAACTCTCTCACTGTGACAGGACAGAAGGTTAACGGGGTTTAGAAAATAAATTGGTCTTTTTCATTCAGACCAGGGTTAACTATCGGGGAGCAGTATAGCCAGTGTGAAAGAATTCAGGCAATCACAAATTTAAGAATTAAATTATGTGGGACGGCAAGTTATATGAGCCTGTATTCATAACAAGACAGTTATCGAACGTTTGTGAAAACGCTGATACCATGAGCAGACCAGGACAGGTTATGTGTCAGGGAGACACAAAGATATTTAACATTTGCAGATTTGGAGATGCTTTGGTCATTGCCTACAAGATTGGGGAGATTATGTACAAATGAAAGATAAGGTGGACCGGTTTTAAGACTAAATGAAACTTTAATGCGCTTATTGATTTTAAGCACAAGGGAACGAGGCACAGACCAATTGTGAAGTTCAACAAGGCTATCCTGGACAGGGCGAAAACTGTCTGAAATAGGGGCTGGACAACCTATCACAATTTCATGAGCATACTTACATGGAATAAAGTTACTCGGAACGGGGAGACGCTGTAGGTATATAGAGAAGAAGAAAGGGGACAGAATAGCACCCTGAAAAACACCAGTTTCGTAGAAGACGAATATGCTCCATTCAGTGAAGCAAACTGAGTCCTACGGGAGAAGTAGTCGATTAGTACATTCAAGAATTTAAGTGCCAGACAACTTTCCGAAA